TGACTAAGATGATGACTTATAAGTTTCTTAGTGGTGTTCTGCTCAGGATGCATGACAGATCTGCCGATGGTGTTTTTCACTTAGTGATTTTAGCTTTACCAGACTCGGTAAACTTCGATTGTTTTTCACCAGTGCCCGCTAAAGTTCCGGTTGGTAAGTCAAAAACGACTTCCATGTAAATTTTGTTAAGGAAAAATCTCTAAACTTTTAGCAACTCGGATTAAATTTACTTTCTATTACTGTTTTTAATCGGCTTTCATCGTTTCAATGCGCTTGAATTTTCAGAGCCGGGCTCTTCCCAATTTGCATAATCCGTAATCGGCCCGTGGGCATTACGGGAGAATAATGCCCTACAATTCAGTGACAATTAACCAATCAGAGCGCGCGTTATATCGGCCACAAGCCAAAGCCATATAATAATTTATATAACTGCAGTGTGAAAGATTTTTAATAACCTAATGATTCCTTCCTCACTTTCGGAAAGAGCGTTTGCCATTGACTAAGAGTATAAGTAATATCTGTTTCGGGTTTTGAATCTTCTTCCCTAGGGGAGTGGGTGGTAGGCCACCGTGGGTGGGAGTGGAATGTGTAAGGTTTGACCACATCAGTTTTGCTTCATAAAATTGAAATGATATCACAAGAAATTTCCTTCATCCTTGCAGAAATTGGGTTTACCTGATCAGTGTTAATGAATAAACAAACCTCCTTTTGTCGCGAAAATATGTATGGAATTTTTCATTGGGTATCTCAATCTCACGATTTCCCTGCTAAACTAGGAAACTAGCAGATGCAGTCGGCAAAAATGGAAATTTAGAGACAACATGATAAGTTAGGATATCAACACCGCTCCCTCCCTTGAGTGTAGATCTGAAGTTACGTAGTAATTTTGAGGAGATAAGCCGATTTTTCGAGATTTTCATTTCAGATGTGGACGAGTGTTCTCATAATGAAACTCCATGCGGTGCTAATGAAGAATGTTTAAACGAACAAGGGACGTATTCTTGTGTGTGCCTATCAGGATATAAGAAACAACGCAAAGTTTGCGTGAGGAAAGGTGAGCGTTCAATTAAATTATCAACAATAGACCAGTTTACAGTTGTCTGTTCAGTGACCTGGCCGTTGAACAGCAGCGAGGCAGCAGGTGACCTTGTTTTAATAAAGACCTCACTGCTTTTGTTGTGTTACTGTTATGCTAACTAGATGCCATTTAAATGAGAAAATCAGAGAGGTCTGTATCACAACAAGATCATCTCCGGCCTCGCGTTCAAAGGCCAGGTGACTAAACACACAACTCTAAAATGACCTATTTGCACCGAGGAACCAATACGCCGGGCGCCTTCCAGTGCCAATATTGTTAGGATAATAGGTTGGTTAAGAACATTACATGTACATTTTTTTTCACCTTCACCTAAAGCATATCTGACAATAATCATTTACTGAAGAAGCCACAATGACTTATTTCGCCCAATTTATGGGTTTTTATTGAAGTCGTCCATAATTCAATTCCAAGAAATTTCGCTGAAATCAGCTTAATACCAAGCAAATAGCAACACGGAACACTTTATTTTCATGGTGTATTGCCAACTGTAATTTGAGCAGGGTTCTTGCCGCCTGAAGTACCCTAGACGCAAATCAGGAAAGCGACGTGCATCAAAGACAATGAACAATTATTGGACGAGGTTGAGCAAAATATCGGAATATTTCAGTGGCGAGCAGATCAATTATTTGCGGAAGCTGAAAGCTGAGGCAGACATCGTGATCTGCGAGACTCGCCCGAGAATTCTTCTCATTTCTAAAGGGGATAATTGAACCATGCGCTAAATCAAGTAATCCACATTACCTTTTTTAACTCGTTCCTTAGACAAATGTAACTGCAAACAGCACGAAGTATGCCTCCAGGGAAAATGTAAGTGCAAGGAAGGATACAAGAAGAGTACAAAAGGATACTGTGTTCCTCGTCGAAGTAAGTACTGCGTGGCATATGGCATATGC